CAATTTCCTTAGTGATTAAACGCCTGTTCAGGTTTTCTTTTTCTTCCTGGTTCAGTTTTGGTAGTTGATACATCTCTAGGAATGCATCCATTTCTTCCAGGTTATCTAATTGGCTGGCATTTAGTTGCTCATAAAATGTTCTTATAATTGTTTGTATTTCTTTGGTGTTGGTTGTGATCTCTCCTCTTTCATTCATGAGTTTGTTGATTTGGGTCATTTCTCTTTTCTTTTTGATAAGTCTGGCCAGGGGTTTATCAATCTTGTTAATTCTTTCAAAGAACCAGCTCCTAGTTTCGTTGATCTGTTCTACTCTTCTTTTGGTTTCTAGTTCATTGATTTCTGCTCTGATCTTTATGATTTCTCTTCTCCTGCTGGGTTTAGGCTTTATTTGCTGTTTTTTCTCTAGCTCCTTTAGGTGTAGGGTTAGGTTGTATATTTGAGACCTTTCTTGTTTCTTGAGAAAGGCTTGTATTGCTATATACTTTCCTCTCAGGACTGCCTTTGCTGTATCCCAAAGATTTTGAACAGTTGTGTTTTCATTTTCATTGGTTTCCATGAATTTTTTAAATTCTTCTTTAATTTCCTGGTTGACCCATTCATTCTTTAGTAGGATGCTCTTTAGCCTCCATGTATTTGAGTTCTTTCCGACTTTCCTCTTGTGATTGAGTTCTAGTTTCAAAGCATTGTGGTCTGAAAATATGCAGGGAATAATTCCAATCTTTGGGTACCGGTTGAGACCTGATTTGTGACCTAGGATGTGATCTATTCTGGAGAATGTTCCATGGGCCCTAGAGAAGAATGTGTATTCTGTTGCTTTGGGATGGAATGTTCTGAATATGTCTGTGAAGTCCATCTGGTCCAGTGTGTCATTTAAAGTCTTTATTTCCTTGTTGATCTTTTGCTTAGATGATCTGTCCATTTCAGTCAGGGGGTGTTAAAGTCCCCCACTATTATTGTATTGCTGTTGATGTGTTTCCTTCCTTTTGTTATAATTGCCTTATATAATTGGCTGCTCCCACGTTAGGGGCATAGATATTTACAATTGTTAGATCTTCTTGTTGGATAGACCCTTTAAGCAGGATATAGTGTCCCTCCTCATCTCTTATTACAGTCTTTGGTTTAAAATCTAATTTGTCTGATATAAGGATTGCCACCCCAGCTTTCTTTTGGTGTCCATTAGCATGGTAAATGGTTTTCCATCCCTTCACTTTCAATCTGGGGGTGTCTTTGGGTCTAAAATGAGTCTCTTGCAGACAACATATCGATGGGTCTTGTTTTTTTATTCAATCTGATAGCCTGTGCTTTTGATTGGGGCATTTAGCCCATTTACATTCAGGGTAACTATTGAAAGATATAAATTTAGTGCCATTGTATTGCCTATAAGGTGACTGTTACTGTATATTGTCTGTGTTCCTTTCTGGTCTATGTTGCTTTTAGGCTCTCTCTTTGCTTAGAGGACCCCTTTCAATATTTCTTGTAGGGCTGGTTTCATGTTTGCCAATTCCTTTAGTTTTTGTTTGTCCTGGAAGCTTTTTATCTCTCCTTCTATTTTCAATGACAGCTTCACTGTATATAATATTCTTGGCTGCATATTTTTCTCATTTAGTGCTCTGAATATATCATGCCTGTCCTTTCCGGCCTGCCAGGTCTCTGTGGATAGGTCTGTTGCCAATCTAATGTTTCTACCATTGTAGTTTACATATCTCTTGTCCTGAGCTGCTTTCAGGATTCTCTCTTTGTCTCTGAGACTCATAAGTTTTACTATTAGATGTTGGGGTGTTGACCTATTATTATTGATTTTGAGAGGGGTTCTCTGTGCCTCCTGGATTTTGATGCCTGTTTCCTTCCCCACATTAGGGAAGTTCTCTGCTATAATTTGCTCCAATATACCTTCTGCCCCTCTCTCTCTTTCTTCTTCTTCTGGGATCCCAATTATTCTAATGTTGTTTCATCTTATGGTATCGCTTATCTCTCGAATTCTGCCCTCGTGATCCAGTAGTTTTTTATCTCCTTTTTTTCAGCTTCTTAATTTTCCATCATTTGGTCTTCTATATCACTGATTCTCTCTTCTGTCTCATTTATCCTAGCAGGTAGCGCCCCCATTTTTTATTGTACCTCATTAATAGGCTTTTTGATTTCGACTTGGTTAGATTTTAGTTCTTTTATTTCTCCAAAAAGGGTTTCTCTAGTAACTTCCATGCTTTTTTCAAGCCCAGCTAGTATCTTTAAAATCATCATTCTGAACTCTAGGTCCGACATCAAACTAATGTCCATATTGAGTAGGTCCCTGGCAGTCAGTACTACCTATTGTTCTTTTTGTTGAGGTGATTTTTTCCATCTTGTCATTTTGTCCAGAGGAGACTAGATGAATGAGAGAACAAAATGCTAACAGGGTAACAACATCCCCAGAAAATATACTCTAAACAAATCAGAAAAGACCTGAAACAGGGAAAAGAAAGGGAAAGAAAGAAAAAAGAAGAAAAAGAAAAAGATAAAAACAGAACAAAAAAAAAAAAAACAGAATATGATCAAATATGATCACGCTGGTGCATAGATCAGTGCCACACACTAGATTTTGGGTGTATTTTTGTCTGTTAGAAGAAAAGTGCCTCCCAAAATTTTAAAGAAAGAAAAACTTACATATGTACAAAAATAAGGGTTGATATGATGAAGGGATGGAATATGACTGTAAAGATGAAAATTATAAAAAATTTTATAAAAGGAATTGATAAAATAAGTTGTTTGAAAAAAGAAAGAAGACAATTTATAAAAGAAAAAAAAGAAAAAATGGGAGAGAATGTGGTCAGGCAGGAGACTAGAACAAAGCCATACACTAGAGATTCAGGGTATATTTTGATCTGTTAGAAGAAACTGTATCTCAAAATTTTAAAGAGAGAACAACTTATATATATATGCCAAAAATAAGGGTAACTACTACGAAGGGATAGAATATGACTCTCAAAATGAAAAATAAAAATGTTTTTTAAAAAAGGGATTGATAAGATGTTGGTTGAAAAAGGGAAAAAGAAAAATTTCAAAAAAAACAGTTAAAAAAATTAACTTTGAAAGACTAAAGAATCATAGTAAAAAAGCCATCAATTCTACGTGCAGTATTCCCCTAGCTCTGGAGTTCTGCCATTATCATTGATCGGTAAACTTGGTCTTGTCTGGCTGTTCTTGCTGATCTTCTGGGGGAGGGGCCTGTTGCCGTGGTTCCCAAAAGTCTTTGCGGGAGGTGGAATTGCCCCGCCCTTGTCAGTCTGGGCTAAGTAATCTGCTCGGGTTTGTCTCCGGAGCTTTTGGTCCCTGCAGTTTCCCTATAGCTTTGGAGGATGAGAATGAAAATGGCAGGGAAAAAAAAAAATGGCGGCCTCCCAATCTCCGCCCCGGAGGACCTGAGAACTCGGGGCCCCACTCCTCAGTATGCCCCCAGAGAAAAGCAGTCAGTCACTCCCATCTCCCCGTCTCTGGCCGCACTCCATGCTCACCTGGCCTGTGACTGAGCATTCCTCTCTGGCACACGACCCCGTGTGGAGTCTCCAAACCCAGCAGATCCCTGAGGTGCGCTCCCGCGCCGCTCCCCCCCAGTGGAGGAAGGGGAGTCTCCCCGGATCTGCCGCTTGTTGGGTCCCTGCTAGAGGAGCAGTGGCCCAACTGGGCCGTGGATCACAGTTTATGGCAACCCCGAGTTGAGAGCCCATGCCTCGACTCCATCTCTGCAGCCGTCTCTGCAGCCGGCTTCCTCGCCCCAATACCTGGGAGCTCTGCTAGGTCATCCAGGTCTTTCTGTGACCCCGAGGGTCCTGAGACCACACTGTCCCGCGAGGGTTCCACCTGCCGCTTAGCCACTGGAGTGACGTCCCTCAGCGGTGCCGACTTCTTAAAAGTTCCAATTTTGTGCTCCACGACTCTATCACTTGCCAGAAGCGGCTGACGGAGGCCCCCCTCCCCCGCCGTCTATCCTCCCAAATAGCGCCTTGGATTCACTTTTCCGCACATCCTACCTTCCAGAAAGTGGTCGCTTTTCTGTTCAGAGACTTGTTCCTATTCTTTTCTTTGATCTCCTGTTGAGTTCATAGGTGTTCAGAATGGTTTGATCCCTCTCCAGCTGAATTCCTGAGACCAGACGAAATCCAGGTCTCCTACTCCTCCGCCATCTTGCTCCGCCTCCCAGAAATGTGTCTCTTTTAATATCCCATGTTGTAGGGTTAAATTCATACCAACTTCATATTCTCTGTGATGGAACTAAGGTAGCTTTGTTGCTTTTTTCAGGTGTAAAAGATGAGGAGAGTAACTTGCCACCTTATTCCTCTGTGATGTGTGCTAAGGACAATTTCACACCATGCTTCTAAGACAGGTCTAACTGTAATTTAGGGTTTGGTACGTATCTCCAGTTTCAGTAATCAAAGTTATGTCAACATTCGCTAAGTGAATAAGAAAGAAGAGTATTCTGGTAATGACAATTTCTCAGGGTTGTGCATAGGCTCAGAAAATTTCTAGACTTTTATGAACAGTAGCCTCTCTTTATTCCCAAATGCTCAATGGAAATCAATGCATTAAAATTAGGTCCATAAGAGCTAAGAATAAAAGACAAATCTTGAAGAGAACAAATAACCTCACCAATGCTCATGAACCCTTAAAACCAAACTCTCTTAAGGTTAGATCTTAGGAAAAACCTCCAACAAGAATGTAGGAAGAACATCATGGTGGCAGCTGATATCAGTAGTTATTTCCTTTCCCTTCCTCAAAATCTTTTTAGCTCTGTTCTTTACAACCTCAAAGAAATGTACTCCCTTAAGGAAGATCAAATTGCACCCAACAGCAATAGGAATGACATCTATGAGATCTGACCCTCCTCCAGCTATTCATTGGAACTCTGGGAGAAGCTGAAGGGATGTCTAAGACTTGGGTACACTGTTCATCCAGGTTCAAGAGGCAGGGCCCTTCCCAACAAGATCCCCCGCAACAAAATCTAAAATACAAATTAATTTCCCCCTTACCTGAGAGAATGGCAAACTGTCTGTGAAGTTGTTCAATTATGTCCACTGCCACCAAGGGCCTGATTTCCTGCTGCATAATTTCATCTGCACAAATGAAATACAAATTAGGTTAAATTTGTGTAAATCACAAAGAGAATTTAAAAGGAAGTGGGGGGGGGGAAGGGAAGTTTCACTACTAGGGAAATCTGGGACTTATCTACATATGGTTATAGGCACATTATTCTCTTGAGAACTCTATTCCTGAGATGCAGGAATGGATCTGGGTTTTGTGTGGTGTGAAGCTTATACCCAGGAGCACAGGAACACATTCCTAGAGCCTCTCCCAAGGCTTTAGGAGGGTCAACACAAGGAAGGGGCCCTGAAGCTTAAGCTTCAGCAGCTTCACAATATAGCTGCTGGGATGGTCTCATTACCAAGGCAGGTACTCAGGGACCTGCCTACTCCTTTAGGTCTTACACACAAACAATCTAGGTCACCAGAGTTCATCCCAAGCTGGGTCATAAAATCTATCTGACATTTATGAATGTTCTTGGCTTTTTGTTTCCTTCCCTCCCTCATTCCTTCCTTTTTGCCTCCCTCCTTAATTACCTTTCGTCTCCTTCCAGAATACTTCAAGGGCCTCTTCCCACTGCCAAGCATGTTTAAGGAGACACTTCTCTATTTTGCTAATTAAAGATACTCCATACTGAACAAAAAGTTACAGGCTTCCAATGCAAAAATTCAAATCTTTCAAGCACAAACCTACCAATGTCTTCTAATCCTAAGAGTGATTTGTAAGCCCTATGATTTGCATTCTATCCATTTGGGGGAACAGGATTAGAGAGGGGAGAAGACTGAATGGAAATCCTTAGCTGGGTTGGAAATAGGAAAGCATTTTCACACTCTCACTGCCTAAGATAGTATTATCCTCATTTAATTATAACCCAGAGAATCTAAAAAAATGAGCTGGTTATTATTTCTAGAGCAGTTAAACATCAGATAAGATTAAGGCAGAGTCAAATAGTCTTGTACATTGATGCTAAATAGGAACCTGCCATTGATTTAGCCTGGAGTCAGGGTAATGGTATGATATTGTAACGTTGACCAATAGGAAGGTTATATTTTGGAAGCTCCTCCCAGAACCTTCTCAGCTTTAGCGTGAAAGTTAAAGGAGATGATATATATGGGGATGTACACAGTAGATGCTCGGTAAATACTAGTTATAGCCCTTCATCTGGAAAGGCCTTTCCCATATTTGTTTGCTGAAAGTTTTTTCTTTTTAAGATTTTATTTATTTACTTACTTATTTACTTATTTATTTATTTATTTGAGAGAAAGTGCTTGTACATGAGCAGGGGAAGGAACAGAGGGAAAGGGAGGGGGAAAATCTCAAGCAGACTCTCACTGAGTGCAGAGCTGACCGGGGCTCAATCTCAGGACCCTGAGACCATGACCTGAGCCAAAACCAAGAGTGGGACGTTTAACGGACTGAGCCACCAAGGCACTCCCTGAAAGTCTTGTAAGGGCTGGGGCAAGTGCCAGTTTAAATGCTAAGACCCTTCTTAGGTACCTGGGTGGTTCAGTTAGGTAAGAGTCTGCCTTCAGCTCAGGTCATGATCCCAAGGTTCTGGGATCCAGTCCCACATCAGGCTCCCTACCCTGCATCGGGCTACCTGCTCCACAGAGAGCCTGCTTCTCCCTCTGCCTCTCTCTCTCTCTGTCTCTCATGAATAAAAAAATACATACATACATACATACATACATACATAAATATATACATACTAAGAGCCTTCTCAATGAATTCTACCACTTTCTCTGGAGGAAAGCAGGTAAACCCAGGCCAGAGCTCATTCCTTCATTCTTCCTTTCTCTTTCCACCCTGAATTCACTAAAAATTCACTAAACCCCCGTTTCACTGTTAATTGTAGTGGGTACAATAATGACGCTGTAGTTATATTTGGCAAAAGGGAAGAGTCTTCTTGGTTTTATACACAAACTAAAGTATTTAAACAGTAAAATGATATTAAGTCTGAGATCTGCTTAAAAATACTCAAGTGCGGGCACCTGGGTGGCTCAGATGGTTAAGCGTCTGCCTTCGGCTCAGGTCATGATCCCGGGGCCCTGGGATCAAGTCCCGCAACAGGCTCCCTGCTCCTTGGGAGCCTGCTTCTCCCTCTGCCTCTCTCTCTCTGTCTCTCATGAATAAATAAATAAATAAGATCTTAAAAAAAAAATACTCAAGTGCTCCCTCCCTCTTGCCAAAAATGTATGGGGCAGGGGGAGGAGGGGATGAAATCAGATTGACAAATATGGATAATTATTAAAGTTGGTTGTTGGGTCCATGGGATTGCATTATATAATTCTTTTGCATATGTTTCAAATTTTTCATAATAAAATATAAATTATAAATGGAAACCAACATAGAGAATTTAAGCAGGAACAGGAGTTATATAATTGAAGAGTTTCTGAGAATATAATCTCCCGGTAGTCTGAGAAAATGGTACACTCAAAAGTAGAGCTGGATCACTGTATTTTCATACCTGAGGGAGCATATTTAAGAGATAATGACCACAAAGAAAAACCAAGATCATAAGATGCAATTTATTGTTATTGGACCTCAATATTTGAGGTGTGCTTTAGACATTTTAAATAGGTAAGATCTGAAAATGGACAACAGAAGTGAGTTAAGCCACACATCCCCCAACCCATCTCATTTTTTAAGTGAAGAAATGGAGACCCAGAGAGATTCTGACCTTGCCTGTGGTCATATAATTTAAGCATGGAGTCAGAGTCAGCCTGGGATCACATGACTCTAAGGACAAACCTTGGCCTTCCATGACAGGAGTTCCCAGACCCTTGGTCTTCAGCAGCACTGTCCTCTACCACCCCTGAGAGGGTAACTAGTGTCTCTCATCATGGGAATGTGTGGAGGTTTGCCCAGCCTTCCAACAGAGATCTTTCCCACTTGGGGTTACCAAATGAACAGGACTAAGATGTATAATTTGTTTTTCAAGAATAGAAATGAGCTGGTTTGCCTTTGCTGAGAAAGCTTGGCCCCCTACCAGGGAGTGAAAGGGTTGTCCTTGAAGATGTCCCAGCAAAGGAACCTCATGACCCCACCTGGCCAGCCACAACAGATCATGCGGTTTTCTTAGACTCAGTGCTGACCCAGAGCATGGAGGTAACCTCAGACACACCGAGCTTTTAGTGATGCCTGACATCTGAGGACCTGTTGGAAGAGGGGCACACTCGGTTCAGCCCCAAACAGGCCACATTCATACTCTGACCAAAAGACACACAAAGACCAGCCCTACTGCTGGTAAGCCTTGCTATCCACTCCTGTCTAGATGGGGTAGGGAAGGGAGGGCAGGAGCTCTTTTGTCTAAAGGAGCCCCCTTCTGAGCAATGGCAAAGAACCCAGACAGCCCTGCATGGGAAGGGCCATTTCTGCCAACTCTTAGCTAGATACCAGAGCAAGGACACTCTGAGCCTCACGTGTCCTGTGTTGCAAAATGGCTTTTCCTTCTCCAGAAACAGTTGGGCATGACCAGTGACGACCCACCAAAGTGGTAATGCCTACTGCGCTCTGCCTGGCCCCTTGGTTCTGTGTGGACGCTTCCTGCTCGCTGCTTGCTACTTTTGATGTGCATGGATTAGGGAACTTGTCTCTTTCAACCCACATAAGGCTAGGGGAAGTGATAATTCAATTTCAACACAATCTGTATCCTGGGCAAAGTTACAAATAGGTCAGGGGAAAACTTGTCCCATTTCTATCCCTCGTAAGTATACAGTGAGTGATTGTATGCTATCCCGGACCCAGAGTTCCAGAGATGCAAAAGGCATCAAGGGGGACAACACAGCCTCCTCGGGGATGGAATAAACAGCCTTGCACATCCCATGGAAACTCAGCTTGGGAAGGCAGCAAGCCACACCCCTGCATTGTCCACCACCCAGTCAGAGAGCAGTGCAGGCTCTGGGGCAGGACCTTTCCCACTGACTGCAACTGTCCTCACAGCAGAGAGCAGGGAACTGCTCATAACAGCTTTTGCTGTCTGCCTGTTGCAACTGGGGCAGCAAAACCCTTGACTTCCACTCTGGCTGAAATTTCAGTCACATTGGGATTTAAAAGATTCAAGTATGGTCTGAAGAAAAAAAAGAAACCAAATTTGTAGGTAAGTAAGTAATTTAGGGAAACAAAGTTTGGTCTGGACCGACAAGGGAAGGCAGACCCTGCCACATTTCTACATTACCAAGGGAATCTGGTGAACAGGAAAAATAGAAGAGTCTGCCGCCTCGCTGGACTAGGAATGGGCCCAGGATCCCCTGTCCCAGCCTCTGTTAGTAACACTAACAAGCAGCAGCTGTGAGCCAGCCCTGATGACGCACCTCACAGATTAACTCATTTAATGAGTTGGATAATAGTAAAGGAATGCACCCTTGCACTAAAATGAACCTCCTCTGGCCCATCCCGCCCTCTCACTCTCTCAACTAGACCAGACTTGACTGCCAGGAAAACACATACAGACTGGAAGCTCAGAGAAATCAGTTGCCGGGCTGTTACAAAAAGCCACCTCATGGAGACATCCTGTTTCACTTCTCTTTTTTACTGGCCAGGTCAGAAATAACACAAACCCATTTTTCCTTCTTGTACTGGGTCCTGTGCTATATATAGCAATGCCTGACCTGAACCATAAGACAGCATTGAAGTCTTGTCTGTAAATTAATAATGAATAAAAGGCAATAGAAAAGCAAGTGGAAGAATTTTTTTAAAGGAGAAATTTAGAATTTTAAAAGCTAGAACACTGAAAAATTACCAACTTCCTATTAGTCAGATAATGCAGTTAAAACAGCAATAGAATATCTCATTCATCCATAAAACAACTGAGATTCTAACATCCAATGCTGGGATTTTGTTGGAAAACCACGACATATACGTAACCTTGGGGAGTGAAGCTGGTAGAGCCCCTTTAGAAAGTAGTTTCACAATATTTTATCCAGTGATTATTGTGTAGTTACATACCAAGCCCTTTATATGTAGCATCTCATTTAATCCTCAAGATAAAAGGGCAATATTGATCTAGATTTGCAGTAGCTCATCCAAGGTT